ATTAACTGCAGGTCACCAACATGGTTCAACGCCACTGCAATCTACACCGATGGTTCCAAAGGAGAATGTGGCACCGGTAGCGGATACTGTGTTCTACTTGGGAACCAGATCTTAAAGACCTGGGAAAGAAAGCTTAAGTACCACAACTCAGTTTTTCAGGCTGAACTGATTGCATTAAAAGCTGCACTTGTCTACACACTGGAAAATAACTATTCCAGTATATATTCAGACTCAGCCTCTAGCCAATCCAAGGCACATGTAGTAAAAATCCACTCGTCAGAGCCATACAAAAACTCTTACTAAGAACACCTAAATACTATAGGCCTGAACTCCAGTGGGTACCTGCCCACACTGGAATACTGGGTAATGAAATTGCAGATGCAATAGCCAAAAGAGCAGCAACTGACCCCTACGTTCGCACACTTGATGTGCCTCTCCCGGGTTCGTTCTTAAAAGCTGAGCTCGAGAGAGAATTACTCAAACGTTGGCAACATCTGTGGGAGACAGAAACCACCGGCAGAAGAGTTTACAGATTTTTTCTAAAAGTCTGCCAGCTTCTAAAATCTGGCTCGTCTCACTTCACTCAGTATCTAACAGGACATGGTCCCTTCATGACTTACCTGCATCGCTTCAGACGACGCGAAAACAAGCATTGCTCATGCGGGATGGTAGGAGATCCGGACCACTATCTGTTCGCTTGCAGAGAGACCGCTAAATATCATCTTAGGCAACCAGTAGCAAACCATATCCATGCATGGGCCGAAGCTACTTCAAAAAATCGCAATGCATTGAAACGCATATGCGATTGCATAAACATTGCACGCAAAATCTCAGACAGGTTGGAGTAATTCTCAGCCACCATCCTCGTCACCCTGTATATATTTATCTCCTTGAACTGTAAACCTTGAATTATGAACCTTGAACTATGTATTTTGCCTTATTTTACGTATTGTTTCCACTGTTTTGCCTTTTTTTTTTATGTATTGTTTTACTTTCTAGTATTTTACTTCTTATTACTTTTAGTATTTGTAACCACCTATCCATTACTCTGTAAATATGTAACTGGAATTGTTCTTCACGCCCGCAATGCACCTTTCTTCCATCATGCACTATCGCCTTCATCCAGCATTTGTTTGCACTGCCCCCAGCAGTCGTCTTGAGCACAATATGTATTTATAAGTGTGTCTTTTGTTCAAGTTATTTCCGTCAGCGGGGCTACCTGGCCGATATGCTAACTACCCAGTGGACTGGCTGCCTCGCTGTCGGTGGAAAGAAAGAAAGAAAGTATACATGTGACAACAGCCAACCCACGCATATCCATATGTTTGAGTATACATGGATATACATGTTTTATATTTAAACAATAATATTTACTAAATACAATAGGTACCACTTAAAGTGCTTATTTTTAACCATGGCAATTTTGAAAATAAAAATTGAATGATAACATTACACAATAAGAAAAGTAGTCTTCAAAATTGTAATGGAATTCATCTACTTTAATGTAAATTAGAATCATAAAAATGTACTTTCATACCATTTTAATTACAGAAATGCAAAACTTTGTTTATGAACTGTTCATCATGTTTTAATGCAAAAGCTTACTTATGAATATTCATAAGGTTTCTGGAAATTACTTGACCAGTGTTGTATCCTAATCTTAATGCCTGGAAGGCATCCCTCATTAGAAAAGAACATATAATGTAAAATTTAAAAGTAGGCAAAAAGAAATCTTAGTTTGACTTATATGTTTTCAGTTTTTTTTTGGGGGGGGGCAGGATGGGAAAAACTGACTAGAAATTATTTGGTTGTTTTGCTCAATTTTCAGAGGTTGACTAAAATAATTTTTAAAAAAAGTATTTGGTGACTTAATTTCTTACTTAGCTGCATTTCTTGTCACTTGGCAATTTTTATAATCTATTTTGACATTATCTGGAGACTATTTCAGTTTTAAGAGAAGTTATTCAATGATATTTTGATTGCATTAACTGAATTGTTGATCATAACAAACAGTGCATTTTCTATGTTTTTCAAACACAAATGAGATGGACTTCAGTAATTCATTAATAATATCCGAATAAAATTAACTGCGATCATATTCAGCAGCCTCTATTGTAGTATAAGCTGACTATAAAAATGCAAATATCGACATATTTTTTCCACTTTATAAAATTCTTTGTTCTGCTACAACTTATGAACAGAGCAGTATCCTTGAGGTGTAAAGATAACCAAGTGGATGTTTTTTTAAAAAAATAATTTACAAAATTCCTCAAATTGTTGCCGACTTTTTTCAGTGCAATTTCAGATAATCAGAAAGCACCAGTTCATCTTCAGTTTTTATTTTTAAAGCTATTTCTTCCCCTATTCATTAGTATGCATACTATTTTATTCAAAGATGAAATGCATGAAGTCCATTTTATAATTCATAATTTATATGAACATGTACGTCATATGACTGTGGCCCTATTTATTGCCGTGAAATTTCATGCTTCACGGTCTGCGAGACCAGATTTAAACATTACGTTTTAAAAAAACTTACATAAAACGGGCTAGTTACAGCTGAAGAATAAAATAATATTTACACTACAAAAATCAACAACTAGAAGGAAGATCATTGACCATACCTTCTAACACTCCAGGCTCTACTTCCAGCCATATGTATTTGTACAAAGTATCATTCCACAGTTAATGTTGGATCTGTTGATGTCTTAAGATATTTGAATCATCTTGTACATAAAATATACATGACGGTTTAAAAAAATGGTCTCTAAATACATATTTTTAATCACAAAAAGGTTTTATTTGCAATTACAGCACAAGTTTAGAAATGTTGCATAAGTATATTATTTTCTTAGTAGTTGCAAGAAGTGTTAAAAATAAGAAGAAAATAACAGCTATACAGTAGATACCATTTAATGTGATTGTGATTAATGTTATCATTCAGATACTATTATTGAACTGCTGAAATCCAGCCTGCTTTTATACAAAAACATAGAAAGTATTGCTTATTGTGATCAACAATGCACTTAATAATATCAAAGTATTGTCAAATAAAGTTTCCAAATAAAAGACATAAAGTTGCAAAAGTAAGGTCAAAATAGATTATAAAAAAAAAGCCAAGAAACGAAAAAATGTAGCCAAATAAGAAACTATGTTTCCAAACAGCTTGTTTTTGATTTTATGGAATAATTTAAGATTAAGCCCCCTGTCCCTCCCCCCAAAACCCATAGTCTACAGATCCTCTTCTTCGCAGTTTTTTTTTTTTTTAATTCCCCTGAAAACATCTACACGAAGCTTAGGTTACTCTTTTGTCTAACTTTAATTTTTAAATTTGCATGTTCTCTTACAGTGAATGACATATGCCAATGATGAGTATTAAGATTGTGGGTATAGCATAAGTAAAATAATTTTCAGAAATGTTTTGAACAGTTCATAAATGAATTATTGTGTTAAAAACATCATGAACAGTTCATAAATTAACTGTTGTGTTAAAAACATTATGACCATTTTATAAACAAATTTTTGCATTTTACTAATTAAAATTAATGAAAGTATTTATTTATATGTTTCTTGTAGCATTTATCCTTGCAGTATTAGTTAAATTCCACTGCTGTTTTTATAGATATTTTTCATCGCTTAATGTTAACATTCAGTTAATGATATCAAAATAGCCATGAACAAATGTAATTACATGTTGTATGACAAAGAAAAAAGGAAGTAATTATCAGCATATTACATATATATACACTCAAACCTGTTTTTCTGTGTTTTTTTATTTGTGTGGTATATCAAAATTCCAATCAAGTTGGAACATAATTGATGTTAACAATAAAAATGTCATTTTCTTGCATTCTGAAAAGGCTTCAAAATTCCGAAAGGAGCTTCAATGTTGTATATCTGGCTACTGAGAGATATACAAGCGACTAGTGAAACAACAGTCATTGCAAGAACTGATCACCGACTACATGGTAACTGAAAATAAGTAAACTCTAAACAAATGCAAGGTAGCATCTTCAAGTAACAAAAGAAATTTTGAACCAATTTATTACAAGAATGTTCGCGTATTGTCAGACTATGAAGAATAATGGTTATGTGTAAAATAAGTACATATGTAAATAAAATATTTAAAAAAAAGTTCAAATATTATTTTCTAAATCAGATTTTGATAGGTTTGGAAAGATTCCAAGCAGCTGCCAAGCCTCATGTCTTGATTTCATTTTCAAAAGCAATTCCTAGTTATATCATACGGTTTTGAGTTATTTTCTACATGAGATTTTTTTATGTGGTCCTTATTCATTGCATAAAAATAATAAATTTAATTGTATTGAGTTTTTTTTTTTTTTAAACTTTAGAAGTTATGAGTGATTTTTGTTTTTTAAATGTGCTTTTTGGTACTTACAGAAAAATCACGTCGACCAAAGAGACGAATCCAGTCGTGCCAAACCCCAAGAAAAAACATTCTATTCTTACTTTTCTTTCAAATTTATTATATTATCATTTATCTATATTTAATTTTTCATTAAAAATTTCGAATTGACACTCGTTTCGTGCAAGCTTAAACATTGCAGCGCCATTGCTTCTCAGTTCTTAAATAAAGAGTCATTTCGTGGCCATTAACACATTTTTTTAGACCGGTAAGATTCCATAACTTTGGAAATATTCAACAGCATGTTCTTATGTAGTAGGCAAGCCTGAAATTTTAATCTTGTTTTTTGTTTTGTCCTCCCCCCTAAAATGCGTGTCAGAGGGAAAAAAGGAGTCTTTACTCAAGAATAATAACAAACACGTGTAATCAAGGTTACACTAAACCCAGTGTGTTTGAAGAAGACTTTTCCATTTTTGGTGAAAACTGGCGTAGTTTGATGTCTTTTCTTTAATAGGCAAAAAATGGTTGGCAGGATTTTCCGTAAGTACCTGTTTTCTTTTTTATATAGCCCCTATCCACCACACAAAAACAAGTTTGAATGTATATATATGAATCTATGTTCTTTTATTATTTTAAATTTACACTGATTTTAGACAGCCAGTAAGCAGCAGCTAATTACACTATTACACACACACACACACAAAAAAACAAAAACAAAAACAAAACAAAAAAAAAAAAAAAAAAGTCTTACCTGAACTTGCATATATTTGTTAGCATGATCTGAACTAATTAAATGATCCTGTAATTCTTCATCATCTCCAAATACATTATCACACATACTGCAATAATGCTCACTTTTCTGATTATGATTGATGGCATGCTTTTGAAAAGCTAAAGTCTGAGTAAAAGTTCTACCACAAGCTGTAATAATACACTGAAAACGTTTCTCCAGCTGATGTAAGTTATACATGTGTAGATAATAGAGCCGATAACTTTTAATGACTGCATCACATAAATGACAGAAGTGGCCCACTTTAGTGGGAAATCCTATCTCTGCTAATTCTTTATCATCTGGCAGATCATCCAGAGAAATATCAAAATCACCTAAGCGTTTATATTCCCTGCTTACATCTGATTCTTCTTTTCCAGACGGAATATTATTTGATGACAAATCTCTATTCAGATTTGATTTTTCTCCATCAGTATCTTTAACAGAATCTACATCTAAGAAATCTATGGCTTCAAATACTTTTGTAGCTTTGTTAGGATCATTTAAGTCAGTGGAGATAAAATCTGTGCCAGAGTGCTGATCAAGAAGTGTTTCTTTAATTGAAACTGTAACAGCTCTTTCACCTTCAGCTGTTTCTGTTGTGCCTTGAGCAAATATCTGTTGCCCATTTATTTGAGATTTTACATTAATTTCAAATTGTTCAAGGTTACTCATAATGGATGAAGGATCATTCTGGTTCAAAGAAATTTCAAGAACAGAATTTTGCTGAATTTCTTGAATAGCCTGCCCAATTTCTCCTTCATTTTCATTTTGTGAAATTCCTAAAGGAAGGAAGGAAATGGAATTCATTATATTGACAGATTTCTAAAATTGCATTTATACCTACATAAATGTGAACATAATTAAAGAATATAAATTTTTCATAAATGAAATAATTAAAAAACATTATACACAACTGCACATTATTTACTAAACAATCCACACTGGCAACTAAAATATCCATTAACAAATCTGCCACACAGTCAAAGGACAAACCAATGATACTTACTTAAGTAAGTTTCACATACTTTTCTACTAACAAATTTTAATTGTCATAAAAATTAAATCTGGAAGATGCTTCTTCCCCCCCCCCACAAAAAAAAAAAAACATTACTGGCAACAAATAAAAACTTAAAAAAAAAAAAAAAAAAAAACTGGATGCCTTTAGATTTTTATATTATGCCCAAAAGGGTGTTTTTTAACATTTTGTGTGTTACCTATATTTACTAAATATCATGTTTGCACTTAAACCACATAAAATTCAATTCAACAGTAATATCACAAAATATTTGACAACAGCCAAACTGTGTATCTTTAGATTTTCTGATACACAATCTCGTGCGCTGGAAAATTGTTTTTTCCATAGGGTTGCCATTACTTGCTTTGAAATCTTTTGAGTTTTTTTATCAAAAATTCGTTAAAGTTTTCGAAATATGAAATAGACAATTAAAAAAAAATCCAAAATTCCAAATTTGGGCTTCCAGTCATCTCTAGGTACAGTTGTTTTTTTACAATGTGAGAAACATTCATGCATTCTGGCAGATTCTTCATTATTTAGTTTTGTTTAGTTTCTTTAAATATAATACGTGGATATAATATATGGTGGCAACAGCTTGAAAAGTGAATCAAAACAAAATACCAAAACAAAATTAATTTATTTGTTTATTTTTTTGTTTATACTTTTATTACATTAAAACTTTTATTTATTTGTTTATTTTTTAGCCCAAAGGGCATTAGCCCAGAAGAGCTACTAGTTTCGGTACTTTTCCGTTTCACCGGCGCAAATCTCGCCAAGCAGACTTTATTGGCGACAACATACAGTATACACATAAAAAATATTAAAAAAATGTTAGTTTTAAGAATTCTTTTTTTGAAGGCATAAACATTTTAATATCGCTTAAAATTTTATAAAAAGCCAATAAATAAAGACAATAAATTTGTAAAAAAACATTAATTTAAGAATTTAGTATGCTTTCATGGTTCACCATCCTGATTCGCCGGTTCATATCACGTGACTCCAAGCGATCTCATCTCACGTAAACTACTCTACAAAATTCTAATGCTCTCAGTAATTATCTACATTAATTTCAAGTTAAATCTTAATTTGGAACACAAGTTTAAATGCAAGAAATATTTCAATTCGTACGAATAGCTTACTCAGAAATTATGTAAAACTGCAGTGCTTTACTTCGCTAATGCATTCTCATTAGAATTGAATTTAACCCTTGACCTTACCTTTTCTATATTTTCGGCTTCAAGTAAGCACTGTGATTGCATTCTAATTGACTTAATTACCGAAAATGGCCTTAGACATAAAGCTGAACTATCTGATAAAAATTCTATGCAATTATATGCCAGTATTGAAAAACAATCAATCTGATAAGAAAAAGCTGCGACTTGTTTTGAAAATGAGGCGTAAAAGGTTACCAGCGAGAATATTCCGTTTGGCATCGGTTGTATCATTATTGGCAACTTTATCGCTTGCGCCGGCAAAACGGAAAAGTACCCTAGTTTCATTTTGGCATTTTGCGTTGGTTCAATATAAATGTCGGTTCACAACTTCTTAGATTATAAAAAATTGATTCCGTTTATTAAAATAATTACTAGCACTGTTCCTCATGTACACAATTACCTGTTTTGACTTAAAAAAAGAGAAGTGCACAAATTAACTTCATAGAATGCATATTCCTACACTCTCTACTTACTATATAAATCTAACTACAGTCAAAAGTCTTTAATTCGGACTCGTCGGTACTTGGGCGATTCCAGATTATCGGTTTTTTCGGATTATAGATCATTAGTTTAAATCTGGTAAGATGGCACGCAGAAATTATAAAAGTAAAAATATGAAACTGTAATTTATGAAATAAAGAGCAATTATGATCTAAAGGGTATCAAAATTTACAGAAAAAAAAAAAAAAAAAAAAAAAAAGAAAGAAAGAAAAGAAAAGAAGAAGCTTAATATTTATTTGTTTACTTTATTAAACATTTCTTTCAATGTGCACATGCATAAAGCATACATTACGCATAGTCGAAATTAGAAAATTGCAACCAGAAGACTATTTGATGTGTATTTGTGATATTTATAATGACGAGGAATTTGATTTAAATCATATCAAAGACGGAGTACATCAAGATGAAATACTACATTTAGTAAGGAATTATAAGCCGAATAAAATAAAAACATCTGCCCTGATGATAAGGATAGTGCTGACAGATGAACTTCCAGTTCATTGTGCACCGCGCTGGTTGCAGGGTTAAGCTGTAGATTTTATCTACACTTTTTAAGAAGAATGATTAGTTCATGGAAGTACTTAACTTTACAATACTTTAACAATTGACCTCTGCCAATATTCCTATTCCCAAACACTAGGTCTTAAATATTAACCCGTTCAGGACCAGCATTGCATATAAACGACACAACGATTCCACTTTTACCAACAAAGTATCCTGTATATGTGACACAATGATTCTGCTCTTAATAGCCCAGCATCGCATATATGCGACAATAAAACGAAATGATTTACTTGAATTTTCAAAAGCCAGTAGATGGAGCTAAGTGGTAATTGTTTTCACATGGGCTAATTCATACGACATTTGACCTTCATGTACTGGCATTAATTTCTATTTTGTGCTTTTGGTTTTGACAGATTTATTGAAATAAACAAAGTGTGAATCACGGCTCTTTATAAGTGCACCTATGAATTAAAGGGACACAGGCGCTTTTGTTTATTTCATTAGGATTTTCTTTTTTTGTACTTAACCCATTAGCCACTGGCATTGTGTTGACGCAACGGTCAAAATAAATGCATACATATAAATATAACTACCTATGATATTTTGTACCAGCAGATGATTTTGTGTAGGAAATAGCTTATTTCTGTAAAAAAATATTTGCCTTCAACAATCATTTTGTTTATAATAATTGATCTCATACTTTAAGCAAAATTTTTGACTGGGTATTTTTTCCGAAAATATTTAACGAAAGAATCGCCGTTTTTATGAGTGATCTATTTTCAGTCAAGGTCACAGTTTATCAGAACATTACATCAATCAGACGTTTATATTTGTGTTGGGAAGAAAGGGAAAACAGGTGTTGCGCTGACCCAACGTCAGCAGGAAATGGGTAAGCTTCTTTTTTACTCATTCCTTTCGATGTTCTGGCTGCTTTAAAAATGCCTATAACGAGGTATTTTACATTAGAAGAAGCCCTTCAAAGATTTTTTTGATGAAGAAACTGATGATCATAATGTTAATAAAGACCAGAATGAACTGATATTGTTGTTGTTCCCCAGAAATGGCAGAAGCTAGTGATGAAGAAGAAGGAATGACAATGTTTTAAATAATGATAATCATATTTTACCAAATGATATTGGTGGGGAAGTTGAAATTGACGTAAGAAGTAAGTTTCAGCCTTCTAAAAGCAGTGGTAGTCATATAGTAGTTGCATTCTAAAAGCAGTGGTAGCCATAAGAAAAAGTTTAAAAAGCAGAAAACTGAAAACTTGAAATGGATAAAAAAAGGAACCATCAATTATGTCTCAGGAAGAAAATAAAGAAAGACATAAAAGAGAAACTATAAAAGACAAAATACAAGGTAAAACTAGTGGAGAGATTTTCGATTTTCTTTTTGGTTTAGACATTACTCTCTTCTCGTTGAACAGACAAATATATACACTCAGCAAAAAAATCTCCCTGAATTTATTGCATCTGAAGCCTATATGGGAAGATTTATTGGAGTATTATTGCTTACAGGATATAATTTTTTATCTCAAGAAGAAATGTATTGGTCACTTGATAAGGACATTACTGTTCCTATTGTACGAGAATAAATATCACGTTTACAGTACAAGAATATGAAGCAGAATTTGCATTTAGCTGACAATAGTCCAATTGACAATATCGATAAATTATATACGGTGAGACCATACCTAAACTTACTAAATATCACAACTTTCTACTACTGGAAATAAAAAGTAGCTTTTAGATTTCATACGCGAGATTGCATTATTTCTTTTGCAAACTCCTATTGAGAGTGTAGAATTAGCCAGAAATAGATCAGCAACAGAAAGACTTAGTAAATTCAGCATTCAAAAACCATTGCATGGAGATGGTAGATATTTTATCGTAAAATACGATGATTACAAAAGTAAAAAGTCGTTGTAAAGAGTGCCATAGCCAGACTGCTTATAGATGCAAAGTATGTAATCTAGCTTTACATCATGATTGTAGTGAAGCTTTTCATGCTTGAATCTTTCAATTGAAATAATCTGTATTTGTAAAAGAAATACAATGTATATTTTAATATTAAATTAATTACAAGTAAAGTAATTTATAGATTCATAAAATGTTATACAGCTAAAAAGTAATCCAGTGCTCCACTCAAAGGAAACATTGCACGAGTACAATCCTAGTCACTAAACATATGCAGTTTTATTCCGCTTATGTTGCGCGAATGCAACACTCGCTTTTTCCACAAGTAAGAGCTTTTTTTTTCCCCAATGTAAGTTTATGATATAAATGCTTAATTTAATATTTGTTATTATTTTCATGAGAAAAGAATCATTCCTTGTAGTTTTGGCAGTCAATAATGCCTTGAATGGTCTTTATATATAATGACACAGGCATTATATTTTGGTATATAATGTATTTACTTTACATATAATGCAATTATCTATAAATGTATATCTTGACATTATCAGTAACGGACATCCCATCAGTGGGGGGTCTTTCCTTGATCACTTTCCAGTCATCGTGTACTGATGTCACACAGGGTTTGAGGA